GCTCCCCGTTACCACATCAATCAATCCCAGAGTTGGTACATTCCCTTATCGGTTGATTTTACTTGTAAAAGTGTTTCAGGAGTTTGTTTCGCCACTTGTAAATTTGTTTTGCACTTCCTGGCCACCGTAGCTGTGGCATGTATATTTTCCCCCAATGGGGGATCAATAAAAATTATTCTATTTCATTTTTTTCAAGATGCACTTAAAAGTAGGAGCAATGAACTGGGCGTTGACACTGGTGCATGTTTCTTAGCAAACTACTCCACCTCGATACAATGACTCATAGAAGGGATTCATTCTAACGTCTTTCTGGACAAAACAGGGAGGTGGAATGGTAGATGGACATAGAATGAGGTCCATCACGTCAGAGCTTTGTCCTACTTTCATGTAAACCTGGAAATAATCAGAGACTTTGAGGATGTAGAAATATTTAAAGAACATTTTTCAGATTTTGCTCTATTTCAACTCTTCAGGTCTTCTTGGTACAAACGTCAGATTTCTGCATCCTTCGATTGAATCAGTGTTTAAATGACACTCAGGTGGATTTTTCCTTTTTTTAAGGAAATTAGCTTGTTTTTCTGCATGTCTCTGCGGAACATTGTTTACTTGCTAGCATTGCGATAATAGGAAACAGCATCGGAGTGAAATGAAAATGTCAGACGGGTCAAGCAAAGAGACGGTGTGTCAGTGTCACATAACAGCTGGACTGATGGGTTCTAAGGGGACAGGGGCAAGGAGCACGACAGCAAAAATAAAATCCTGTCAAACAAAGAAGCTCTTGTAATGTCCCCAGAGGATGAGGAGCAGCTCTAAAGCACTTCTCACGAGGGGAAACAAGGCCATAGTCTTGTAGTTGGCACAGACAGAGCAGGCTTTCACAGTGGATGGGAAAATATGTTTATATGCTAATGAGCTCCTAACAAAAATTAGTGGCAGAAACAGAACAGTTTACGTCAGGAGACCACCAGGAATGAGAATGATATCCACATGAGAACACAGTAGAACACGATGCTACATCTGGTTCTGCTGCTCTCGAGTTGGACCCTGCACTTGACCCGAAGAAACCAAAGAGTGCTGACTGTGACAGTCGCTCACCTCACTGGACAGTCATTTGGCCTTTTTACAAGTAGCTCCTTGAAATACCATCAAATTATGCAGAGATTGTTTATCAGGTTTACC